AGCTATATTGATTACTCGAAATAAATGTAAATAAATTCTATAGTGTAAATATGTTAAAGTTAAACTTCAAAAATGTCGATTTTATTCATAAATGTTAAATTTTATTAGGTATATCACAATATCACAACTAAATTAAAACTTTGCAACAAAATTAATCTTTTAGGAGATTCTTAAATATTTTTAATATTATTATTAGATATATCAAATTTGTATTCTTTTTGTTAATTTACTAAAAATGAATATTATTAAATTTTGTCAATTATGCTATATAATTTTACACGTAAATAGTTTCTGACGTACGAATATTTTTTTTCGACCGTATATTTATAATAAGCAATAACGATGAATAATGCACTCTACAATATGTTTAGCAGTATTATAAACGCAAAATTGAGATTTTTTCTATTTTAATTGTCATAGATCCGACTAATATAAATAATAATAATAATACATAAACACCTAAACCATAATAACATAATATATAGAACCATGATAACATAATATATAGGCAAGTGCAGACTGCACTTTTTGATTTGGAAATTTTTTTGGCGCGTCTTATAAAAAAGCTCTTATAATAGTACAAACTACAAAGTACAAGTAAGTATTTTGATATTATATCAAACATGTTATTTTTTTTAATTAATGATTATACCATAATGTTATCTGAAGCTGTCGTTTAACCGTACATCAACTATTGTGTTGAACTTCAAATATATTTTATTGAATTCAAACATTTCCTTCCCATTATTTATGATATCGTATTATAATATATTATCTGTATGTGTTCTACACTTCAAATTTCAATCCTAGTTGCCTTTTAATTTCTTTACTCGCAGGCTTTAATAAAAATGAATATTATATTACTGAAGAAAATTAATTTTGGTATACAATTATTTATTATACTATGCTGTAAAAACGATTTTTCACTCCATCATAAAAATCTAATTTAAAAAAATATGTTAAAGTTTTAATATAATTTTAAACATAGTTTTAATTTTAAATTAATTCCACTTATTTAGTAAAGTATAATATCATTATGCATATATTTTACATTTATAAAAAATTACAATTATACCTTGTTATTATAGTACCACAGATAATGACTTAGTAAGTATGTAATAGTATTTAGTATACCTACTATACATTTTTAATGATAATGTGTATATTTATTATTAATTTTGCCTTTTGGACATATATTTTGCTAAAATTTTTATTTTGAACAGTTATTTTAATAATAACGATAATCAAAAATCAATTATTTCTCGTTTATAAGAATAAACATTAATTATTATAGAAAATAATTACATATAATAATAAGAAAATCAAATAACATATTTTTAATTGCGCTTGTAGTAAAAAATAAACATAAAAAAATGTGTAGTATTAATTTTTACAGTAATACAATAAATAAAAAAAAAAATATAAGATGTTAGTACATAAGTCAATGAGATTTTATTTTAGCTATATAATTGCACTACAAAGAACTTATTTTTAAAAATTCAGTATGATTTTCTGACTTTCTTTGGGTAATTTTTTAATAATAGTATATACAGTATATACACATCATAAAATAAATTGAATAATACGTTTATTATTTGAGGTAACTTCGTGTACGCATAATATTTATAGTATTTTTTAATCACAAAATTCCATCTTAATAATAAATATTGAATTATTTTTTTTTTATAAAGTTTAACTTACATTTGCAATTGTAATCCTTATATTTAATACATTTCTATGCAGATGACAACTAAAAGGTAAAAATATATTTACAAGATATAAATATCATAAATTAAAAATTAAAATTAAAGCGTTTTAAATTGAATAACTTTTTATTTTGTAGTACAAAATTGTAATTTATTACAATCACACAATATATTTACTGAAATTATTGAGTTTATATTTCATGAATTAAAATAACAGTAGGATCTAAAGTTAAAACGTGTTTTTAAACCGTTTAAACATTATTTATTTTCATATTTCGTTTATCATTCTATGAGGTATATAATACGTTGTAATAATTTGCACAATTATACTTACCATTTTTTAATTAATTTAAAAATTATTTTCTGTAATATTTTGAAATTTTGAATAATATACAAAAACCATTATATTACTCAAAAATGTTAAATTTACGGAGTAATGCCCACATCTACAAAAATATTATTTACACACCTAACAGTAGGTTTTTGATATTGATTGTTTTCGTCAACAATCGTCGATCGCCGTGTCATATTTTATATATCTATACAACTATGTGTGTGTGTGTTTGTGTGTACGGGCGCGCGTGCACCCGTCGCAAACTAATGGCCATTACATATAATATTTACACTGCCTTTACATACACTACCTAGGTGCATTGTGACCGGAAAAACCAATAGAAATGCAAAATTGTAAGTTTCCATCGACATTACTGCGCGTAGCATACTGTACATGTTATTATTATGTTACGTACCGACAATTCAACGGATTATATCCGATACCATACAAGAGGTAACTCCATGGGTATGTAGTTATTATAACATTGACCCGTTAGTTTTTAGACATATATAGCTGTGGTACATGCGCCGATCAACTGTAGATCGTATTCGTTGTCAGACTGGTTTTTGTATTATATTCTGTAGTATTATTACTATTATACAGTTTGTCGCGATAATAATAATAATATAATAATAGAACCTATAAAAACAATTAAAAAAATAAAACCTATAAAAATATAGAACAAACACGGGCTGATAACTTTTCAAGATTACTTGAAAAAACACAATTTCGTGTCCTCTATATAATATCTACGCTGAAGATAATATAATAATAAAATAATATATTATTATGGTTATTACCAACTAACTTATTATATTACATGCATAATTTTTTACCAACTAACTTATATTATATTACATGCATAATTTCTTGCGTTATTTTCCTAATGTCTGTATTTGTAACTGTCGTAAACGTCGTCGCGGACATCGTTGAGACCAGTGAGCACGTCGTGTCATATTTTTAATACAGAAAGTTCAAACACTACGTGCATTAATCCTGTGTAGACTCCAGAGTGTATAGCAGGGATTTTCAACTTTTTTTGTGTCTGCGGCACTAATAATTTTGAAAACAATTTTAATGGATCTCATACGAATAATAATAATAATAATAAAATAAACAAATTTTCTTTTTTATTTATAGAGGATGCGACTTTTATAATAACCCCTGGGAGCCACAACGTACAGGTTGAAAACCCCTGGTGTAAATATTATAAGGGTGCTCTGCAACGTTTGACCTAGTACATTACTCACCCGCTTACTATAACGCAGTATTATGTATACGACATTTGCTCATCCATCAGCCTCTCTCGTTTGAACTTTATAACTTAATACATATTACATAACAGCGTAATACAAATAAGTAGCATACCATACGAAAATTCCTAATAAATGTTTATCATATATCTAGTTATTTATACCAACAGATAAACCATATTACTATTTATCTTCACAAATTGGCCATCTCAGTTGTGTGGGCAACATAAAAACAAACATAACAAATATTTTTTTTTCTATTTTACAAAGAAAATAAAACTTAACTTTACTATTTGTCTTATTTACACAGTAAGTAAAATAAATAAAATAAAAATATACTAAAACTAAGAAATATAAGTCATATATTTTCAAAATTTCTCTTTATTAATTTATATCGTATTTAAAAGTGGTATTACACGGTATTATAGAATTTTAATATGCATTTAAAATTTTTTTTTTTTGAATGGTGTACTTTAATTGTGATAAATTTGGATCTTCATAATGCAGTAACGATTTTCAAAAATATTGGTTAAAATAATAATAAATAAAAGTAAAAATAAAAGTTAAACGATGTAAATAATAACAGAAGAAGTTGATTATATTTGAAATATATTAGTTATGTTAAAATCAAAATTTATAAAGCAAAAACATAAATGGAAAATGTTATTTTTAAAAGAAACAGTATCGTTGTTGATAGAAAATAAACAAATGATGTTTTGACTTTAAAACAATAGAACCAATTGCAAATGGCTTTAAATAAATTATTCCCCAAGGATAAAATTATGTAAGAAACAATTTTTAAACTTAACTTTTTGCATTGCAATTATTGATATTTTTTATTATTGAAATTTATCTATATATATATATATATATATTATCGTATATTAATTTTGTTCAAAGAAAAAAAACCACCGATTTTCTATGTAATTACAGGATTGAGATTATATTTTTTATTCAGAAACTTTATATAAATATTTATATATATATATATATTAGAACCATTGCTTTGGTATTTAGAAATAATTTTAAGTATCTCATGTTCATACATTTTTTCACTGTAATAATATAAGTTAAAGAAATTATTACAATAACACGCATTTTTTTTTTTACAAGAAAAGCATAACATTGCCATGAATTTTGTTATTTGTATTCCGAGTTAATGTTATTAATGCCAACACTATTATTATGATCTGGATTCACCGTGCAAATACTGCCGAAACAATAAAAATCAGTTACTTGTCTGACAGAGATGTACGGAAATATATATACTGTATATATAAACTGTATAAACCATTATGTCACCATTTCATTTTTATTTATTTCTATATAACATATCTCGGCCTTTTGATAACAATACACATACCTATTACTATAATGAGTAATGACTATTTTATAGGTCTGGGTTTCAACCAAAAATTATTATTATTTTTAATTTTTTTTTTTTTTTGTTTATGTGGTTTTGTTTTTCTGCTTAAAATCTGGTCGTATATGATAAATTTAAATATTTTTTCACTTGTTTATATAAACATATATAAATATTTTATTTACAAACGAATTCAACTAAATAACATTATATTACAATCATTTTTTTTTTAATTTAGAGAAATATATCAAAATGCATTAAAAAGTTTTAAACAAAAAATAAAAACCTTACGAAAAATAAATTTTGTTAAGTATTTTGTTTTAATAAAATAATATACTATGGCTTAGTTTTCGTTAATGTACATTTTTCTTTAAAATAAATTACAGCTTTAACTGGTTTGAAGTCCTGTTATATTATTTAGAAGAAAAATGGATATTTCTTTCTGATGATACCTACCTAAAACATATTTTAATAATTAACTTTTTTTGTGATGAAAACTACTTCCATCCTATGTGTTCATTGGTCTCGTGATTGGTTTTAATAAGATGATTGTGGAGTGGTTGAAAATATTCCAACAACGGTTCTATTTCTATTCGTTGGTGTCCAACTATTGTCTCAAATAGAAATTGCCATTTCGTCGAAGAGCCTCTCGACATGACCGATCTAAGACGTATAAAAAAATCCTCGTAGATAATTAATGAATTTATATTGTTTATTTCATTTCGATAGTTATACTATAACACTATACTATACTTGATAATTTTTCCAACTTTTTTATAGCCACGTAGGTTGCATTCGTACAAGTGTTTGGTTCTCGCGTGTTTAGATTTGTACTCGCCGCAAATCGTGCACAACGCTTTGAATACTTGAAATTCTATTATAGGTCCCAGAAAGTCTCTATTATTACAAAGCAACCCATTATTCACATTAAAAATAATATATTATATATAGTATCGTATAATCGCGTTACATTATAGTATTAATGATAATATAATTATTAAGTCAACGTGGTTATCATTTAATTATCATAGTAATACACTAATACTATACCATACACACAGATATTCATCATAATATTATAGTGTATACTTGATGTGTGGTAGCTCAATCACCTCAGCGTATGCCAGACTCGGATCAAACGGTTTGTAATTGGGATTTGTACATTTGTCCATGTCTTTAGAAATGGGCGACATAACGCCCTCATATTTAAATCTGTGATAATAAATCTAATTAGATCCGGTTGATCGATGTTACTATGATTTTATGTCATGTGATTTTGAAATAAATGTTTCAAAATACCGCTAGGTACGTTTATAAAAAACTTTATTTGTAAAATTCGTCATTCTTTTAAAGAACCTATTAATACTTTTATTAGCATAAAAGTTACTAATTTTGTATAAAATATAAATATCGAACAAAGAAGGAAATTGTTTTGTATTCTATTTATAGGTATGCAATCTAAGAATAGTTCAGATAAGATTGTTACGAGAAGAGTAATTTCAAAGAGGAGTAGAGGTATCTTATACTTTACGGAATTGTGGTGAACATATAAAAATGTAGTATTCGACACTAAGTTTAATATTTTTAGGTTAGCATTCTCCTGTTTTAGAATATAAAATCAAAATTTATTACCGTTTGATTTGAAAACTATAAATAATTAAGTAAAAGAATTGTAATAAAAATTAATATTTTCACAAAAACAAGTAATAATGAGTACATTATTAACAAATTGAAATATACATAAATAAAGTTTAGAGAGTTAAAATTAATGGAATGTTCTGTAAGTAGAATAAATGGAATAAATATGATCGTACAAAATAATAACAAATCCAGTGGTAATGGGTCTTATTCAAAACACTGACTTCACGTGAATTTAACTTAAGATCGTTCCATACAACAATAGTTACTGTACTACTTATAGTGTGGTAATTTAGATGTTAGTTTTTATATCCGAGTAAATCAAAAAAAGATATACTATTTAAAGAAACCGAGCAAGTCAGTAAACTATATTATAGTTTTCAATAATAGAACATACAATATTTTCTGCACTGTTTATCAGTATAAAAATATTTGCTATCGATCAAAAATTAATTTATAGATATTCATAAAAGTTGTTTTAAATATTATTTATTTTTTTGACATTTGTATTAACTCTCTAAAAACACAATAAATCTCAGACGGCTAATTCATATGCAATTGTTAATTGTTTATTTTCGCTACAAAATTGTCGGTACTTTCAAGCGTATAGTTTATTATGGAGTAAATAAAGTTTAGTTCAAATACTAGTATACTAATACTAGGCTAAGAATAATATTTAGGACTAGCTATAAGTTAGTATTCTAAAGATACATACATAATTATTATCGCGTGAAAAGGACTTTAGTAACTAATAATACAATATAAAATTATTATGTTATATATGATATATCTAGAGTCCCGATTTAAATGCAAACTGCATTATATTTTCGATAGTTATAGAAAATTTTAATTATAAAAGTAATAGTTATTTTTTTTATTTTAGTATTTTTAAGTATAAAATTGGTTTTATACATCAAAAAATAGAAAACTCACACCTTTAATTTGTATTATTAACAGTTTTTGTATTTTTAGAGCATTTATTTTTAATTTTATTAAATTTTAGCGCATATTTATACATTATTACTTATTTTTAGCTAAAGAAATTTTATTCTGACCATTTTTTCATTTGAAAATTGTTCTATTTATGTTTTCAAAACGTCGTTAATGTCTTTATAGGTATATAGCCCTTGTCAAATGATACTACTGAATACCTTTCCATTCTGTAATTTAACGTCATTTTAAATTATTATAAAAATTACTTATTTCAGTTTAAAGCTAAACATGAATGTATAGATTATAATAACGTTTTTTAATAAAAAAAAAAAAAAAAAAAAAGGATCTTTAATGTGATAAACGGTGGCTGTGTATTCAGTGTTAAAAACAAACGTAAAATATAACAAAACTCAATATTAAAATGTTGATAATATGTTTAGAATGTTTTCAGTCTCAAAACTCAAAAGTGATGTTTTTTTGCCAATTAACGCTCAAACCCATTGGTAATAAATATCCATCAAACATTTTTGCAATGAAATAAAAATAAATTAATAAAATAAAAAATATAAAAATATTGAATAATTTTTTAAGAACATAATTGTAATTAAAATATATTTATTTTTTATTTTTGAACGTTTAAATTTTTTATAGTTTTTAGAATGTTAAAATCTAGGCTCTAATTATGATAAGTGTATCACAAAGTAATTATTTTAATAACATGAATACCTATAAAATACTGAAGCAATATTTTTTTTTTTATTCATGAGCATAAAATAATTATAATATGAGCGAAGAGTCAAAAGGCACTTCGCTTAAGTTGTGGTGAACTATAGCTTCTATAGATACTTTGGTTAATCAATAGTTTTAATACTTATTAATAATAAAAAAAAAAAAAATACATGTTCATATACTCGTCACTCAATTTCATGTTTCAGCGTTTTTTATAAAAAGTTATTCTGTTTCGGATCATATAAAATCAAAAATAGTAGGTATGGATTGAAAAAAATTGAGTCAATATCAAAATTAAAATATCAGATGGAAAAAACATAATATTTTCTAAAAAATTTAATAATGTATCAACTGTTGCAATTCATTTTCACTGCAACATCTACATCGATCTGAGACATGGTTTGTATCTATTTATATATTCTGACACTGCAGCGAAAATGTCCTTTAATGCTTATTATATAATATTATGATATGTCAAGTAAAAACTTAGATACAAAATATACCTATTCTACATAATATTATACATTTTTAAACGCGGGATATTGACTATCTTAAGTCGGTGTTATGATATTAATTCGTGTCTTTGATTCTACCACCACAATTCACTAAAATATTATATACGTATTACTAATTAAAATGAGATTCTTAACCATTAGTTCATGAACACTTGATGGATCCGTACATGGTTACTCGGTAATCTATAGACTAAAGTTCTAGGTCACATTGCACGATTAAATAAAAATGTACATTTCGAAACGCAGACACTTTGTATAGTCGGATAAATTATTGAATTGTAGAACGCGGAAATTTTGTACTATTAAATACGTATAAACATAGGTACGTCATATAGCATAAAGTACCTATGAACAAACTGTGAGAACCACGGAGATTATTAATACAATTATAATTAATAATAATTTTATTGATGTATGTTATACATTGCTACATAAAGGTAATATTTTCCAAGTGCAAAACCGAACTTAATTAAACTATGTATTGTTTGCGTATACCATTGAAATGAATTTCAATAATACTATGATTGTTATGATGGAAACAACAATTTCAACTAAATTGAAACCAAAACTTGTCAGAGATAGTTTTGACTATACCGTATTAAAATAGACTTTTAACAATATACGTTAGAAATGTACAACGAGTACATGTAACGAGAAAATATTTATAAATCATATAGAACCAGTAATCATTTATGTATAAATATTTTATAGTTAGAGATTTGTGTAAGACTTATTTCATCTAACCAATTCGTTTAACTCAAATATTTACTTTTTTTTCCAGTATAACGTATTTACTAAGTAAATAAAAAGAAACAGTTGAATGATACAACATTATGTACCGTAAACAATGCTAAGTGACAAGAAGAAATTGCACAATTAATAATAAAGTGAGTACAAACCTGATTCTTTTATTAATCGTATATCAATGTAATGATAAGGAAATAGTAAAATAATTTATTTTCATAGAGAAATATTTTATATATTTAATTATGTTTTATTTAAGATACAGTTTGTTTAAAATTAAAAAAACTCTAACGCTTACGACGTACTTTAAGACGTGCATGGCGAAAATATGTTCCTGACGAATCTACAAATCTTATTTTTAAACTACAATAAATCAGTTAATTAAGTAACTGATTTTTAATTTATAACAATAAAAATTAACATAGAATTGTAATTTTTGTTACAACTGGAGGGTTTTCTGTCTTAATTTTAATAAGTCTATATGGATGGCAAATTTAAACGTTCTAGTATATTTGCTCAATTGAATGTTATACAAGTAGAATTTCTGGAAATGTACGAACACGTGTATACGTTTATCATCTAGACAAATTGGAAAATTTTCATCAAGAAATGTTATTGAATATCAATATAAGCATTTGTTCGAAATAAATCTCCCCTTAACCCCAAGCGAGTAATAATAGATATTAGATTTTGAATTAGGAGTATATATATGGATAACTAATAAACCTATTTTTTAATGGAGTTCAAATCCGATTTAATTTCTTTTATTTATGTCAATTTGTGTGGAGACAACTCAGCATTTTAGATTAGAAAAATAATACAAAGAAATCAAACGTATTTACTTCAGATTACTTCATTACCATTTTTACCAATTAATGAAGTTTTTAATGAAATATATCATGTTTATAAAACAATTTCTAATGAGTTATTATTTCTTATTTCATACTTTGACAAAACTTATATCAGAGGGAATAATAATAATGCAGGGAATCTTATCACATAAACAATTTTAGTAAAAGGTGGAATAGTTCATCCAACAAATTAGTTGAAACATCTTATCTTAGTTTAAGGACAGTTTTACTCACAATACAATTGGAGGAAAGTGGGAATAGAGACATTAATCTAAGATTGACGAGAAACGGAGAAAATATAATAAATCTGTGAAACCAGTATTAATAATAATAAAAAAAAAATATATACGAATATTGAATTTTTAAATCACATTTATTATGTTTGTAGTTTTTAAATGTAAATTTAAAAAATGTTAATTAACTATAATTTAATTGGCATGTTAATATAAAAAATATTTTTATTATACATTTTAACATTTTTAATATTATTTATATACGTATTATATAATATATATATTATATATAGTATATACTTTATACTATTTAAACATGTATACGACAGTAGTACAAAGTGTCCACGTTTCGTATATTTTTAAACGATTAACTATTTATCGTGGGGTAGATTTTATTTTAATCTATGTAAACTTATACTTATTATAATAATACTTTTTAAAATTAATATTTAAAATATTTATTTTTTTTTTTTTTTTGCATAGTCATTATTCATCATACTTCTTTACACATTTGAATGTAAATTGTCATCTCATTCTACGTTTTAATTAATTAATGTCGGTAGTTATAAATGACGTAAATGATATGAATATCCAACATCAACTAGCTATTAGATCAGACTCAATTCGGCCAATTATCAAACCAAGCGTTGCCATAAGTATAATTTCAAATCTAAAACTGAACTAAAGAACCACCTATTTATAACATATCCTCCCAATTAAAATTCCTAAGCACACCATTGTGTGTATAAGGCAAAAAGTACGTACCTTTTGCTCCACCAGAGATTGTTCATATGCTTTGGCGCGAAAGACCTCGAGCTCGTGTCCGATTGCCAAATATCGACTGCATAAGCGAAGGGCAAAACAGTGACCTTTTCCATAGCTAACTGCAATAGATAGATGTGCCGACTGTTCACACTATCGTTGTACCTGTCAATGAAGTCTTGATACCGTACGGACAATGTCAAGGCATTAATCACGCCGTACACAAACGCTGTGTGCCACCCAGACAATAATTAAATGAATTCTTTTAATTATACAATATATTATTACAAATACTATACTTTATGTCAAACGGCTATTTTTATAGTTAATGTTATAATATGATATTATGTAATAGTGGCAGTGTTTGAAGTGTTCATCGGTGTACGAAAACTGCAGTGGCGCCCAAGATATTTATTTTTTTTTAATGTAACGAGATCGAATTTTACCCACACACACCCACCAGAATCAAAGATTAATAACCATTATTATTTTTTTTGCCGATTTTGGTAATAAGTCAATATTTAAATTGTATTAGAATCAAACAAATTATAGACGTGAAAAATAAATCCAAACGTATTATAGTCTACTAACGATTATAGAATTCAAAAAAGTATAATTTACTTTAGCACGATCACATAATACCATAGTCAAATTAATTAGTTTCACGTCACCAAATAAATATTTAAAACAATCAGCATGATTAAAACATATAACGTATTATCAATGGGTAGAAGATTGAAGACAACATTTACTAAATTCACTATATTTATATGAATTATGATTAATTAAATAACGATATCTCGGAGATCACAAGATATTTGTAAGATTATTAATTCTTAGAATCTGTTATTTTACATAAATTAACGGGGTAAATTAAATAATGTTTAATTATTACTTGTTATTTTTTAAAGTAATGAGGTTATGTTATTTAAGGTACAGCGATAGGTATCTAATAAAAAAATATTGGGCAGGATATTATTTTAAAGTACCTTAAAAAATTAAAATTTCATATAGCTGATATTATTTTAATATGATATTTAAATTATATCAGCCCATAGATGATCATTATTAATTATTACTTATTCTTATGGTTTTCTTTTTTTTTTCAATAATTCTATTTTAAAATAACAAGCAATTGTTATTATCATTCAAACAAACAATTCGTAAAAAAATAATTATTTTTTCTTGTCAAAATATTTAACACTCTTACATTGAGTCAATATTTTCAGTGCTTTTCTATAGTCAATATTCATAAAAGAAAATAATACAATAACATTTTAAAACTTTTTTTTTCTTGAGGTGACACTGGAAAACTTAAGTTTATTCCTTTTCCCATCTAAATTTCATAGATGAGTATACTAAAATATATTAAAACAATATATACTATACTATTCCCAGACAACTACCGACTACCAAGTTAGGTTAGAATAGTTTTATACGTGCATCATGTCTAATATAAACACGCATAACTTTGTTACAATTGTCATTTCGTTACCTGAGTCAGATGTATGCTGATACGCAATTGGCTGTTTTTTATAGGCCGCGAAATAGTGCACTAATCCAAGTTGCTTGTGCATGGTGTACACGTCTTCGATTGTGTTTTTAAAACCCATTTTTACCCTGAAAATGCAGGTTGAATCTTAATAAACATTGTCACGTGTTCATACTATATACACAAGAGGTTCGCAAATGTGTAAAGTATATCACTCGTACATTATATGAAAAATCCAAAAGTAAAAATAGATTCGTTCAATTTCAACGTTCCGTTTTAAACGGCATTTTACAAAAATAAATCTATTTAATAAGTTTCATATTAGAAACACATAAAAGTGTAAAAATTAAAATACGATAATTATTTACTCATTGCAATATTATATGATTTTATATGTCACTATATTTTCACGAAATTTATATTAATATATAATAATATTAATAATAGATGTTCATTAAAATCACCGGTAATCGTTATTTGCATACATATCCAATGATGTTGGTACGATATTGCAAAAATTTTTATTTTCTATAAATACTGAATGGGACCAAACACTTTTTGGTACACATCCCATGCCAATAGATACAAAGAATCTATTAGCTTGGTCAAACAATCGCTTTGGAGTCTGTAATAGTTCACTTAAATGTAGTTAATAATATAATATACTCTATTTATCTTTAGAATTGAATAAATAATTATACCTTAGAATTTATTTTGCTATTTTTGTGTATAACGAGTTCCTGAACTATGAATGGTACCAATTTTGTCCATGGTTGACCCAATACCGAACCTAATCATTAAAAATAATTCTGCATATAAATAAAACTTGATGATTTAATGTCAAATATTATGTCATAGTTAGTTATTATAGTAATTTTTATTTTAAAAATAAAATAAAATAGTATTAATATATAATAATAAAATTATAGGAATACCTAATAACTTAAGAGCTTAGTCCAATTAAATTATAATATTGAGATAAATTAGATAAAAATGTAAAAAAAAATTAATTATAATAAAATATATTATAAATATATTAATCATGTTGCGATGATTGTAATAAGATATGTCTTAATGGTAATTGAAAATATAAAAATCATAATCATCTAATCTGTTATGTATCCTAAAGAATTTTATGCTTTATTAATTATTACTTGTTTTACATGCAGTTTGTTAAACATTTATTTTAGAAATGGATTTAATATTATTAAATATATATTATAATATATATTATTAATTTATATTTTATATTTAATACTCAAAATTAATTTTTTTGCACACAAAATATATAACATTGTTATATAAATAAACTAAATTTAATAAAATATTTTAACTTCCACATAAATATTAATTAAGTACCAACTTTGTTGAGTGAATGGGTTTTTTTGTCGGTTATATTAGAAAATAGGTTTATTTAAAACTGGTTAAAAAAAAATAATAATAATAATAAAGCATTATATTATAATATATACATTTTAAATATTAAACCTTAGTTTCACTAATTAAGTTTTAACAATTATTGTTGAAATTGTGTTCTAGTTTTGATTGTGTATAAAAAAGATTTAAGTATGTCAAAAATATAACATTATTTTTCAAATAAATATTTTAAGGTAGTCTATAGTTATTAAAAACATTCTACTTTGGCTTTCAGTTGTATATTACTATAGGTTTATTGATGAATATGTTATATATTATATTACATGGGTTTATAAAATAAAATTATATAGTTGACTAATGTCATTACACTATACATTTACTTATTATGTAGGTAATATAAAAAAGTCAAAGAATGTGCTCAATCAACACGTCGTAATTTTGTTATTTAAAACTCAAACGTATGACTAGTATGTATATGAGTATAATTTATTAAAATAATTACCTATCATTACAATAACTTCTCGATGTATATTGAAAACTTTATAAATCTTAGAAATGTTAACGTGCAGTAACTTATATAGGAATTTATTTTAATAACATATACTTTCGCGCCCGTAAATATATTTTTTTAAACAATTATCATGTCAATATATCACGAAAAAATGACCAATTAGATGAAAAAATGAGTTATATGCATTTTTATAAAACTACTAATATATGTATTATATAAATACATCATAATACATATCTTTAAAAATATTGCTTTTATTAGGTTTTAGTGTTAATTTGATTTATTGAGATATTTAATGTTAAATTGTCAACTATAACACAACACTTAAAAGATTTAGATTTTTTTTTTTTTATGTACATTAGTATTTTTTCTAAGTTTAAAAATACATGAAAATAAATAAATCTATAAATTTATAAGCTTACATATTTTAGCGCGGTTTTAAGTTAATTGTTCACTAGTTATTTTTTATACTTGATTAAATATGTTTCATAAATTATATATTATGTCATTTAATAATTATTTGAGTTTTAAAATAATAAATTATTTGGTACTATTACTGTGATAAAATTATACAATTATTTATTTATTTTGAATCTGCTAATTTTTTTTTTTTTTAATTGCATGAAAACCTGATAAACATAAAAAATACAACTTTAAACTTGAATAATATAAACTAATATTAAATCAACAAATTAAGCGTTCTAATAGATACTTTTGACATATTCAAATAAAACGTAATGAGCATAAAATAACATATTTCTACCATATGACAAAAGGGACAATAAGATAGAAAGAAGTTGAGAAAAATGTAAAACACACATTAAACTTATTTGTCACATCGTATGATATATAGGTACTCATCATAGATTGATTTTTAACCTTCTAGAGTACCAACTAAATCCAATTTGTTACCAAAAACCACTCGTGAAGTTGAAAATCGAAGCATTGTTACTACCTCAAAAGGTTAATGGAAGACAGAAAAAATCACACAAGTTATAGAAAAATCAATACATTTATCGTTCTGCTAAGAATCTAAAAAAGTAAATGTATTTTAATATTGTATAAGATTTCAAATAGTAGGTAATAGGTACGTTTGGTACGATGTACTGATATTCCATATATATAGTATACATATATTATTGCATGATTGGTTAGAAAATATATTTTACAAATTAGTAAAGTAACAGTCATAATAAGTAAAAAATGAATTTTTGTTATGCTAATTAATAAAATATCTTTCAAATAAAACTAACAGAAGCTAATAACGTAAAAAGCAAAATATAAGCCTATGGTCATTTGTAAGTTTTGAGTTAAAAAAGTTCTTTAGAGAGTGCTTATTGTTTATCCAAGCATCACCCCTTTCTAATCAGTTAAGGAGAGAGAAATACCGGTACTGATCGTTTTTCCTTTTATAACTTCAAAAACATTGAGCGTGTCTTATAGACTATTTTAAAACTTACCCAATAAATGGACAGGAATGGGACCATGAGCAGACAAAGTAGCTGTTCCAAATTTTTTCCTGAGAATTTTACGAATGTGCGTGTAAATATGCAAGTAAAGCGGTCTAATACCTTCGTACATCTTATCAGCATTCAATCGACCTTGATTGTATAAGTATGGTTCCATATAGTAATCGATTTCGTTTGGAAAATCTTTAAATGTAAAATAATCTTGATAAATAATAATTTATTGTAATGAAATAATTTAAAAATAATAATATAGTAACATTGGTTTATATAATTGTTATTAATCATAATGATTTTTTTTACTCAACCATAAAAATGTGTAATGGTACATCGACCGTACACAGTGATAAAATTCAATTTAGGTATTAAAATATTAAGCTATTATGTTTTTTTTCAATTTAAATTACTATTAAGCTGAGCCATACAGTTCAACATTTCAATATACTTCAAATAAATATTTTTAACTGCGAAGCTGGTGTGATTGTGCCAAGCTTTCCAATAGTATTTTAATTCTACTGCATCTGATGAGTTAACCATAATAACATTTATTTCTAAAAATTAATTGCCATAAAATTAATTAATTTATAATATTAATATTTCATATATATACTTGTATATTTTACATAAAATTTAAGTTAATATGTATATTAATTTTTATTCGTTTAATAATTTAATTATTATGTTATGTGCAGTGTTGAAGTAACGTTTTCTGATTATAAATTATAATAATATTGTTTTAATCTAAAATATTCAAAGAAACCTTAAGATTAGGATGAGTAGGTACAAGTTTAATGGTGGTTTCTCCATAACATTATCCACGTGAATGATTGAAGTCTCGTTACTAATAATTAATGAGAAATGTGTTTTGAATTTCAAAACAAGTTTAGGACTAAGATAGGTATATAATAATTGAACATAATATGGTTTTAGTTGATCGTATAGTATACATAATATTAAACATATATATACATTATATATTACTGCCGGAATAGTTTAGAATAAGAAAGTTAAACATCCACCCAGGAAATCTCAAAGTTTAATATCATAAATGAAGCCTTGAATATTATAAAATAAAAATATATATTTTAAACACACGTCGAATAATCACCACAATGAATATAAAAACTATTCACATAATATTAATTTATCTTCATTGCGTTTGTGTTATTAAAGTTGATTTAAAACAATACTGCAGTCATTACCGTCCGCTTTTATGTCACATAGATGATTAGTCTTCCGATATTCGCAAACTGTTAGTTCGTTAATCGTCGTTATTAGTTTCCTCTTCAGCATTATGGTCTACAATAAATTCAAAGACGAAATTTTATAACATTATTGCGACATTTCCGTCGATCTTTACACACACGACGTTACCCTCAATGATTTAATGGGTTTTTTAAACGACGGGATAGTGTAAATTAAAAAAAAAAAAAAATGACCATTTTAAATTGATGTAATCATAGAAGATAAATGAACGTACTGTCTTATACTCGTCCAAGTTCAGCTGACAAATGCCACGGTCATGCATAAAATATACTAAGGGCAACAAGTCTTCGTAGTTCATGCCTAAAGCTATAGACATATTTTCAGCAGATGTTAAAAGTAATTTTTGATATAAAAACAATCGAATGGAAGATCTCAACTACAAAGTAAACATACATTATAATAACATTTTATTATAAAAAATATACAATTTAATATTACAAGTAAATAAATTGTGCATAATTACAAATATTTTTATTTTATATATTAAATATTACGAAAATATATTTATGTGCATCTAAGATATTTTTTAAACATTAAAAACATATTTTCAAAAATATTACAAGCTACAAGGTACTTACTTTAATTTTTTTTGTAATTTAGTTTTATGTTTAAAATTTTTCGATAAGCATTGATAATTAAGTTTTTATGCTAATATTATACTGTATAGTTTTTTGTAACTTATGTACCATATGAGAATATTGATCTTTGAGATACAAAAAATAATTTAACCATCATGTGTTATGGCTATATCATGATATAGGTTATCATAAGCATTCAGATTCTGAATAAAAACAGCAGAAACTATTGATTTTTCCACGATGCTGTTTTTTCCCCTTTTAATGGATATTTGAGGGTAGAGAAGTGATCAAAACTCTTATAATAGAGCTACTCGGTGTACTGAGAACTTTATACAGAAGGCAGGATACTTTGCAAAAGTGATTATTTTTTGATTTTTTCTAAATAGACCTAAAATATGTGACTACGTAAAATATCAGTATTTGGATATACGTAATAAATAATAAATATAAATAATCATAATATCAACAATAAGTATCTTACGATTATTATTTTAAAACATATATATTTTTCAGTAAAATCAGAATATTATTTCTCACCGAAGTTTAATGATTTTGGTATTTTTAGTAAAATATGGTCTATAGTAAATAAAAAAACGATGGTTTGAGGAAAACTAGCAATAATATTATAACATTGATATTATGACGTTTCTACAGTAGTAAATTGAATATAGGCAAACAAAATTACAATTAAACTATATATTGCGTGTATGAAGTTCCTTATTTTCGTTAAATAATAAAACACCATTTATTACATGATGAGTATTTCAAATACCTCGAACAGCCAATACGTGACTGTCAACATAGTAACTAATAAATATGAATTGACGGTGAACTAAAAATAAAAATAATAATAGTAATAACAACTTTTGAAAACTTATTTTAAAGAAGTGCATAATATTATCATAAATTTCAATATTTATTTTAAGTCAATTTTTGTGATTTTTTAACGTTTGTAATGTAAAAATATAAATATTTCATTTTATTATTTCTTATATTTTATACTATCCGTGAGTTTTGTGTGCTTAAAAAAGTGTATTAATAGAAAAATATTATATTGTTTTTCGAAAAATCGTAAATATAACAAGTAATAATTATTATGTACATGCAAACATGATAACAGTTATTTTAATTATAACACAATAGTTAATATGTATACACCTTACAGAATATAATATCTAATTAATATTAAGTATTGACAAAGAACATATTTTAATCGAAAATATTATAAGAGAATACTAGGTAGTGGTTTGATGAAATAATTTGTTATGAACTCTTACAATTTCATGAATAACTAATGTAATACATCTATAGCTACTGTTTATCTGTTAAATTATTGTTATCGCATGTCTTATAATAATAATAATAATAATTATTATTATAATAATAATAAAAGTGCATAAGAACAGGAAATACAACCGAGGAATGAGTTTTATTCGTTTCTGTGTTTTCAAGCGTTTGCAAAATATTAATGATTTAACTTGACGTCAAATCAGGGAGGGAATTGTACATGGTTTAAATTCTACTTTGCACGTCTTATCAAAACGATATTTCTAAAGGTTTTGAAATTAAAAAAAAAAACAATGTATAAAATTATTACATTATATAAATGTTGATATTGCAAAATTTTGAGCTACCCTGGAAATTGCAACAATGTAATAGTTTTATATCATATTATTAGAAATAAGTTTGAACGATTGAGTCATGAGTTATGACTCAATGAATACTCAAGTTCCGTACGCCAATTAATTTGATTTTAGTTATTTTCTTTATGAATATTTTATTTATACCGTAATATTAGGAGCCAAAATTATAGCAAGTATGTAAACGTATGATTATTATGCCAATTTTTAATTTTTTTCATTTTCTCATCACGATTTTTTTTTTAGTTTGAAATTTTCGAACAGCGACTAGTCGATTTATCGCGGTGTCATTTTAATAAAATATAGACAACAATATCTGACTATTATTATTCTTCTACTTATGTTTTGTTAAAACTTTGATAAAATGGGGTGATTGTTTTATCGAGGAACTCGTTTCATTCACTTCTAACGCCGAGGAGAGGGACACTTTAGCATTTAAATATGGAAACATAGGAAGCAAACATTTTAATCAGTTTAATGTCACATAATTTATTTACCCTGTACTCGCACAAGTTATAATCTATGCATAGTAAATCTACATTGACCCTAGGTTGTGACTGTGATGGAGTGGATATAATCGACATGTGTCAGTTTTATTTTTGTTGTTAAACTATTATAGTTCTATATTGTGTACCGTGTATGTTGAAGCACCAAATATTACACATTCCCGAATAAAAATTAAAAAACTTAATTTCTACAACAATCCAGACAAATACTAAGTCTGTACTCTGTTTGATTACTAACACGAGTATTCAAATACCAATAGATGAAAAAACTCAAAAACTTTAAGCAGATGAGACTTACGGCCTCATTCTCCGTCACTTCGGTTTTGTTTATATGATAATTCCACTGAGCCACCGCGTCCATGTTCAGCTCTTTTTTAGTGAATTGGTGCAAACAACTGATTTTATACTCGTCCAAATGCCGTATTGAAGTTCCGATCTACATAATATGCGAATAACAAAAAAAAAATCTTTATAATTTCAGTTCGTATCTGATGTTGGATCGCGTACTTGCACTTTTTCGTTCATGATCTTCCTCGGTCCGTCGAACGAACGAACAGACGGTACGAACAGATGGTAATATAAACAAATATTGTAGTAATAGCAGTGAACGAAAAACGTTAATCGAAATGAGTACATTGCGATTTTCGTACGGCGACTATAAAAAAAAAATATATATACATATAATTATTATAAACAGAAATCAGGAATAATAGTTAACTTAATGGTAATAAATAGTATAAACAAACGATGTCATATTATTATCTATGCTGCTATCGATCACCGTCTCCGACGAAAATGAACATGACAATGAATTCACGTACAGATTTCGGTCATTATAAATATTATACTGGATTCATTTTAAAAGGTACACGTTTTCGTATTTAATTTTTTTTTTCGACTCTTATAGTTGTTCAACTATTCAAGACTTCGAAGTTGAAAATGTTTCACCGACGCTAAGGGACATCAACGGTATTATTTAGCGTCAATTATAACGACAAAAACAAATATTTACCGATCAATTAATGCCTACCTATTGCCTAGCTACCTATACCTTACATGTTTACTTTTGTAACGTCAATAAATTGTGCGTACAATACAAAATATTAATCCAATTATTCCGTATGCGTATTACATGAAATAGGTAATTGAACACAGTAGGTACCCAATTAAAAAAAATCATTACCTACACCGTACCTATATATCTATACGATATTGTGTACGAATACTAAATAGATGTATTACAAGTTTGTAATTGTAGTACCTATGCAATTTTATAGGTACTTAACTAGTACCTAGCAACACCTGTTACAGGCACAAACACATAATGAATTCGTTAGATTATTTTTGTGTAAACAGTACATAATTAATATGCATGTAAAATGTTATACATATTGTATTAGCTCATCATAGGTTTACAGGACGGTTAAATATGAACAATTATAATTTAAGCCAGCACATAGTACCTATACAATATAGGTTATAGCGCCACAGTGACCTCCCTTTTAGTTATTATATGCTTTATCAAATATAACATCGTATAATGTAGTTTATAATTAAGAAAGTTTATTCGTCAGTTATAATGAGAAAAATATATTAATACGACTATAATAATATTATATTAATATCTTATACGATAATTTTATTTTATTAAGCTATTTATTGAACGGTATTTAATGCTTCTTAAATGCAATTATTTATAAACACATTTTTCAATGGTTTATCGATTATTTAAATATATATATAAATTATTAATGTTATTCGTTTTTATAGTATTCACATACTCAAGTCAGTGTTAGACGCATTCAACAACCAACAACAAAAGTACTCACATTTAATTTACTTTCAAATATTCCATAAAAAAATATTAAAGTTCCTTAAAAATACAATTCAATTTAATATTCACAAAAATAGTGAAAACAACTTTTATTTGAGAAATGTTACAAAGAATATTTCATTCCATAGATGTAAACTTAAAATGTGAACATTAAAACGAATGTATACATTTTATTTGGGCACAACTGTATTTTAAAATTTCATAAAATCACGAAAGTAAATTAATTTCAAACGTGAAAAATTGAAATCTTTACTTTTTTCCAACAATCTATGCTATGCTGCCAGACTGGTATTGTGAGCGTATAATGAACAATTTTGTGTTTTAATATAATATTGCACTTATGATGAAATAACAACCTAATTAAGAAGAAAAATGGATTCGAATTACAGATATTTTATAAGATAATAAATAAGAAGTATTTCTTAAAATCTACATGTAATAACATGCAGCTGCGTTAGGTTTAATAATACAATAATTTCTTTAATTAACAATATACATAAACATAAATATTTATACAAAATCAAACAGTAATATTTACATTGAATACCTGATATAATAGTGAATAAAATATAATCACTATTATTATAATTATTATATCTTATATCGTGTTCAGTTGATTTTTCGGACATATATGTATTTTGGCGGATACTCCTTCGAAACCAGTAGATCCCGTGTTGGTCACTCGGAACAGAGCACCCGAATATGGACGTTTGGTCTTTTGCGCTTCGGTTAGCTGGTAACCGGCAGTCGTCACGTACAGCTCATCTAATTTCGGTCCTCCAAATGCAGCTGAGGTGATCTGATAGGCAGGAAATTGAACGGTTGTCAACAGCACGCCGGTTGTGGGATCGATTTTCAAGATCTAAACATAATAATTCATAATATAAACACACGTGATACAAGAAATTCTGAGTTACAAAAATAAAAATACATTTTTTTTTAAACATGCGCAGCTAGGCGGCAATACTTACGTGATCACTGTTGAAACACGCCACCCACAAATTTCCGTTTTTGTCAATGGTCATGCCGTCCGGATCGCCAGTCACTTTATTAGCCTTTAAGTCAAAAATCACTCTTCCGTTGGCTAAGCATCAGTGATAAAATGTCGTTTTGTAAAAACAATAACATAATTACGCACATAGTATAACAGTGACCCAAGCATAATAATATAATAACTAATAAGGAATATTGATGGTTAAATACTCACTTAGGTCTCCAGTGACGATATCGAAATCGTACGCTTCGACCGCGAATTTGTAAGTGTCCACGTAGTAAAACTCTTTATTATCTGAACTCCACGCCAACCCGTTGGAGATGCTCACGTTGGACAAGCGCTTGTTGATAGTGCCGTCAGATTCTATCGAGAACAGCGAACCACGATGTTTGTGATAGTGACCAGGATTATCCGCTATCTCCGAACCCATGGATCCTATATTAGTAATAGAGAATAAACGATCACGTCAGGTTAAACCAAAATGTATGCAAAATAAATGGTTACATGAATACTGTTAAGATGTTTAATAAACAAAAAATAACGGGCACTTATTTACCTCTTCAGTAATAATTTTAACATACTTTTCGTAAAATCCAAAAATTTGACTAATAACTAATAGATTTTAAAAATTAAAATGTACTCACCGACCCACAGTCGACCAGTAGCATCCGCTTTACCATCGTTCAGGCGATTGCCCGGTGTCTCGTCGATTAGTTTCATGTACTCGGGTTGACTTGTTGTATTCGAACGCCCATCCCACTGAACTATACCGATTGAAGGGCCTAGACCGACCACAAACGTATTGATCTCATCCTCGATCGGCACGATGAACGTCACATCATTGTAACCCTCTACAACAGAAATCATTACAATAACAATATTAATAGAACTTTGTCAATGGCAACACATGTCGGTTTCTCGTATACATGATATATTATAATTAACGGTATATATAATAATATATCGACATGTAAATCCTTAGTCGCGAGAAAATAACTATATTATTTTAGTAACCAAGTTACAACTACTAATTTATACAAACCATAAATCATAATACACAAAGTAAGAATTTATAACTACTCGTAAGAAAAATTATCTTAATTAAATTACTGCAGTAAAAAAAAACAGTTATTTTTCAATCGTAGTTTGTGATATTTTTAATTCGACAAGTCAAAGTATTTTTTCACTCATTGTGATCAAAAATAATTTTAGATATTCATTCAGTTTAAATAATATTTTTTCAATAATATATTTACTACGAATTGACGAAAATGCAATACAGAAAGTTAAAAGTAACCAATAAAAAATGTAGGTAACACCGCAAAAATTACTAAGTTACTACTTATTAAAACTTAGGAAACATAATATTTTTATGAATTTACTGCCACTGCGCGTTGTTGACGTTAATGTGGCAAACGTTAATCATACCTATTTTGGCGCTGAAGAAACTATTCGATTCCGGATGGTATCTGTTTATTTGGCTCTGGTGCAGATCCACGAAATACAAGCTGCGGGTCAACGAGTCCCAGTGCGGGCCTTCTCCGAGTTCCAAAGCCGGTGACACGCGTTCGACGTTGAACTTCTGGTCCACCTATAGAAAAACAAATACACTCTGTCATTACTTTTGTTTTTATTTTCTATTGACGGAAGTATTTATTTATATTTTTTAACTATACAACTAACGAAAATAAATCAAAATCAAAAAATAAGGACGGTGCACACCTTAGTTGGTTTAGCGTTTGTTATTTTGGTCAACAGACAGCTGCAAATGAGTATCGACCAACACACCGATAGACGGTTATTGTTATACGACTTAGACATAATTTAACGCGAGGATATTAGCACTTGGGGTAAATCTAAGTAGGTACGCGGCGGGAAAAACGGCAATGTTACATGGAAAGTCAAACGGTCGTATTTATAAGACCATATCCCGGCGGCGGTGGAGGTACGTCATTCATCGTTAAATTATATACCTACGTATTTGTATAAGTGTTACGCTTGTTTATCGTAATTTCAAACTGTACACGCACCTGAATAGGCGGCGACGACGACTGCGTTAACGAACTCATATCTGCGTAAAATGTTTCCACTCCTTGACCGTACACGATCACTTTAACTTCGTCTCTGAAAAAAACATAACCGTAAATATAAAATCCTAATAAACCAAATTTCAAACAGTATTATTTTTACCGTATGTATACGGTTTGCGTTAAACCAATTTCGAGGGACCTGAAATTTTCGAATATTATTATTGTTGTTATTACTATTATTAAAATAAAATTATAATTTATAGATAATAATAAACGATGGTTCTTTTATTCTAAAAAAAAGTGGACGCTTACTAGACGTGGTACCCATCAGTCATGTTCGCAAACTGCAAAGCTGTGAATTAGCTCGTTGATAATTGGGTATTGAGATATATTAAGTTTGAGACCAACAAAAAAAAACATATCTTATCATCAGTATTTTCGTAAACGTATTTTATTACCAAATATCAACAATAAAAAACCAATTGCCTTTATTACTCATTTAGTAATAATATTAATTAGTTTATTACTAATAAATTCTAATAGTTATCCATACAAATACTAAAATATATCATTTAATCTTCCTATGTGTATAGTGTAATTACACAAAAAACAAATTAACTCAACAGTCGAATAAATCGATTATACATTTATAACAACGATAAAGACAAAGGTGGGCATTAACTGGTTAGCTTGTTTTCTAATCAATTTATGAACTGAAGGAGTTTAATTAACAATTGAAAAACTTAGCTTTTCGCAGTTGAAATTAGAAATTTTTTTTAATAAAATTATGAATTATAAATTGTATTGTTTTAGTGTTTTATGATCTTTAATTGCTATATTAAAAAAAATAAATAGATTAACTTTTTTTAAACCGAGTTAACTTATTATCACATAATTTTAAAAACCTGTTGGTTATAAATGATTATATATTCGGTTGCACGTATGCAACTATATGCAATAAAGGGTTTAAGCTAGTATTTTTTTCTATATTGAATGTTGACTTATTGAGTTAAATTTATAATTTGTTAACGGTTAATTCTAACTTATCGATCTTGTGCTCTTTTAACTTAACTAAACTTGAGTTAAATATTTTCATTCATTTGTCCACCTTTAGATAAAGGTACCTATATAAAAATACATTTTATCTATATTATACGTTTTAATGATTTAAGAAGACACACTGCACCTACAAGTATTTATCAACATTATTAAAAAATTTGCATTTAGTAATTAAAACCAATATTATATTTATCCGATACTGTCTAGGGAACCTCAATTATATTCTCCAGTTTTATTGATGGAAATTTATCGATTCCGTCGA